GTTGCGAGTACCGCATTGTGGGCACCGGTTTCGGTGGAGCTCCTATGGGGCCACGAAATTTGAGGGATGCGCCGAAATTGGTGGCGCGGACGCATGTGGACACCGCCACTGGGGCCTTCGGTGCAGCTCCCTATTGGGCCACGAAACGCTGCCCTGGGCGAGGGAGACGCATGCGAACTGCGCCATTGGGACCTTCGCTGGAGCTCTTTATGGGGCCACGAAGCGCTGTCATGGGTGGGAGGCGCATGCGAACTGCGCCAATAGCACCTTCGGTGGAGCCCCCATATGGGGCCACGAAGCGCTGTCCTGGGTGGGAGAGACGCATGCGAACACCCCCACTGGGGCCTTCGGTAGAGCTCCCTATATAGGACCACGAAACGCTGCCCTGGGTGGGGAACCGCATGCGCTCACCCCCACTGGGACCTTCGGTGGAGCTCCCTACGGGGCCACGAAACGCTGCCCTGGGTGGGGGAACCGCATGCGCCCGCCCCCACTGGGGCCTTCGGTGGAGCTCCAGCTCCCTATGGGGCCACGAAGCGCTGTCCTGGGTGGGGGAATCGCATGCGCCCACCCCCACTGGGGCCTTCTGTGGAGCTCCCTGTGGTGCCAATCAACGCTGCCCTGTGTGCGGGAACCGCGTGCGCCCCCCCCCGCTGGGACCTTCGGTGGAGCTCCCTATCGGGCCACGAAACGCTGCCCTGGGTGTGAGAACCGCATGCGCCCACCCCCACTGGGGCCTTCGGTGGAGCTCCCTATGGGGCCACGAAGCGCTGCCCTGGGTGTGGGAACCGCATGCGCCCCCCCCTCGCTGGGACCTTCGGTGGAGCTCCCTATGGGGCCACGAAACGCTGCCCTGGGAATGGGAACCGCATGCACTAGGACCTTCGGTGGAGCTCCCTATGGGTAGAGACGGACGGTTGTGTTACAGATCGGCCCTCTCTCTATTGCGAGGCCGCAGTGGAAGACAACAAAGACAACAATACAATGGCAAGAAAGACAACAATTGAGACAACAAAGGTAGTGAGACAATAATTAGGACAATAATTAAGACACGCATACATAACATAACAACATAACATATCACATAACAGTGCACGTTTTACCCATCGTGTCATAATGTATGCAGCCCTTGTCTCTTTCGCACGACGTCAGTTCACGTTGTACTCGTCTTGCGTTCGTGCAACCACCCAGCCTCTCCGCCGTCGCTTTGGCCCCGTTACGGCATTCCATTCCCCCTTCGCTCCCTTCTCTTGACGCCGCGATGTTTGACGCGGCGATGTTTGGCGCGGCGTTCGCAGACGTCCCCGGCGGGGTCCCCGGCGAGGCGGCTGAGGCTCAGCGGGGGGGCGAGGGGGGGGGGGGGGAGGAGAAGGTGGAGGGGGAGGAGGAGTGAGGAGGTGGAGGAGGGGAGGCAGGAGGAGGAGGGGGAGGAGGAGGAGGAGGAGGAGGAGGGTGGGGGGGAGAGGGGAGAAGGAGGAGCAGGAGCAGGAGGAGGAGGAGGAAGAGGAGGAGGAGGAGGAGGAGGAGAAGCTGGAGGAGGAGGACGAGAAGGGGAACGACGGCAACGACCTCGACGATGACCCCCCCTCAACCGAGGCAGAGGCAGAGGAGCCGAGGCAGAGGAGGCGCCGGCGTCGAGCAGCTGGGCCTTCGGCCCGCCACGTGGTGCTCACCGAGAGATTGTGTCTAGCGGCTGGCCGCCTGGCTCTCAAGGTCAAGAAAGAAGCCGCCGATCGCATCCAAGATTCTCGGGATTTCAAGCGTCTTTCAAAAGGTTGGAAGCGCGTAGTTGGGCTTCGTAAAGGCGAACTTTGCACTCCTGGGTTGAAGAGGCGCTACAAGGGCTCGAAATCCAGGCACGTAAAGGTTACCACAACGACTCTTTACGATGAGGCTGACGGCGACGAATGTGCCCACGCTCATCCGAACACGTGGAACATCGATGGGATGGTCACCAACGCTTTCTCGCAGTTGGGCAAGCGGGTCGACATGGGCATTGGCCGCAGCGGAGACAGCGTGAGCATGGGCCATGCTAGAGGTGGCAATCTGTTGACCGCAGCTGCGCGCGTTGCAGGTCGCCTGGGAACGGGGGGAGGGGAAGGGTGGAGGGGGGAATGGGGAATGGAGCAGAGCAGGAGGAGGAAGAGGACGAAGGAGGAGCAGGTGGAGGCGGAGCTGGAGGAGGGATGATGATGATGAGGAGGAGGAGGAGGAGGAGGAGGCAGGATGAGGGACGAAGAGGAGGATGAGTGCCGAGGGTGTCGCTCCCCGTCACCCCCATCCAGCCTCTCCCTCCTCTGCCTCTCCTCGTTTTGCTGTCCCTCTCCCTCCTCCCCCCCCTCCCCCCGCCGCCCCGCCCCCCTCTCCCGCCCGCCGCCAGCCCCCCTTCCTGCCCCCCGCCGCGCCCCAATCCCTCCGCGCCCAGGTCTTCATCGAGGTGCTCAGGTTTCTCAGGCAGAAGCGGCCATGGAGGATATTCGGTTCGGCGGGCATTCTTGTTTCATTGGAGTTTGCTACGACACGACCCCTTGGCGCGCGAGGTTTGGAGCCATGTCCGCGGAGATGCAGCCGCATGCTCGTTACCTCGTGCTGCAGGATGACGGCAAGTGGACGACTCTGCCTTACGCGGAGTACATGCAGCTGCATCGGCATCGACGAGCTGGCCCTCAGGCCAGCGGATGAGAGGATGAGGGTAGGATGGTGGAAACGATGAGGATGAGAGGGTCGGAGGAGGATGGGGGGGCGAGGAGGATGGGGAGGGTGGATGGCGCTCGGCTGCATTGATTTGCACCGCCTGGGTAGGGCGAGGACGAGGAGAAAGACGACGAGGAGGAGGGCGAGGATGCGGATGAGGAGGAGGAGGAGGAGGAGAAGGGGGAGGAGCAGGAGGTGCGGGGAGAAAGAAGACGAGGAGGACGAGGGGAGGATGACGGTGACGGCGAGGGGGGGGAGGACGAGGATCAGGGGGGGAGGCACAGGAGGAGGAGGATGAGGAGGAGGAGCAGGAGGAGGAGGCGGATGAGGAGGATTACGGAGAAAGAGGAGGAGGGAGGGGGGAGGAGGAGGATGAGGAGGAGGAGGTGGAGGCGGAGGAGATCCCCCCTCCTCCCGCCGCCGCAGGTGGGGATTACAGACGTCATCGCGCAGCAGGTGACTTTGGCGCGGGCTGATGGTCGCACTAAGCATCAGAAGGACCTCTTGGTGTTGCCCAGGTTTGTTCAGGACAATAAGGCGTCAACAATTCACACTGCTGTGGAGGGGGGTTGTCGGCCATTTGATATCGCTCGAATTTCGGAGCTCTGCGAATCTGTCGAATGGGTTATGCATGCCGACACGCCCGACAACGCCAAGCCCAACAAGAGAAAACAATGGTTTACTGCAAGCAAGCTGCCATCAAACTGTTCGTATATTCCTTTTGGATGTTGTGTTCACCATTGCAACAGGATTGCTGTATCTGCATCTCCAAAAGGTAGCCCGTTCTCATTGGCAGGAGATGTGTACGCCTTGAAGTCTGTGACCAGGGTGACATCTCACTACAATCGCTTGTGCGCTACGTTACGCGACATCGTGCCAGACGAATTGGTGCATCTTTCGCCGTCCGACGCGTCCATTGCCGAGCGGAACGAATGGGTGAAACACAACCGATGTTTGCTGGAGCATACGTTGTCGAGAAGAGCTTTGCATTGTCGGGCACGCCTGGATGGCATCGACGATGCGTTCCATCCCGCCCTACGCGAGGCGGCAGAGAGAGAGCTGTTAGAAAGGTCTCTGATATTTCTCAATGGGGACGCCAGGGCGAGTCGTATTTCTCACATCTGTAATGGCTGTTGTTCCAATAGGGATCAGGCTGTGCAGAATGTCGTTGCGGCGTTGCTCGACTTGGATGTGTTCTGCGGCCGGGGCGGCTTGCCTGCTGAGAGTCGGTGGGGCAGCGTTTCGGATGCCAATTCTCAGATATCTGCTGGCGTTTTGTTGCACAAGTTGTTACCGCGGGCATGGTCGCGTGCATTTGGATCGCACGCTGAGCCCATCCAGTTGGATGCAGATCACGACGAAGACTTCAGTTTGACTTTGAAGCGGAAGGTTTCCCGCGTTGGCAAATTCATGGGTGACCGATCTTCCCGTTGCGTGTTGATGAATTATTTGACGGAGCCGTTGGATTGGTTGTGGCACAGGATACAGCATCTTGACGAGATGGGCGCTACGTTGTTGGACGTCGCGAACTCCGCTCGCAACCCTTTCAGGAAGGCGCAGGCTCCGAGGAGGGGTGAGCTTGATCCTGCCTCCCTCTTCCTTCTCCTCCTCCTCCTGCTCCTCCGCCTCCGCCTCCTCCTCCTGCTTCTGCTGCTGCTGCTGCTCCTCCTCCTCCACCTCCGCATCCTCCTACCCCCCCCCCCCCCCCCCTCCGGGGGGGTGTGGGGGGGGGAGGGGGGGGGGGAAGGAGAGGGGGGGGGGGGGCACGACGAGGAGGACGCAGGATTGATTGGAGGGAGGGGGGCGCGAAGGAGAAGAGGGAGGAGGATGTGGGAGAGGAGAAGGATGACGATTGGGAGATGGGAGGGGGGCGGGAGGGGGGGGGGGAGGACGGCGACCCCCTTTTCTCCCTCTCAGGCGCGGGTTACTGATATTGTGTGCCAGCATCTTGATTCTGATTCGAGTATTCTCAACGGTCCATGGCGCCATTGTCAAGTCGAGTCCCTGGATGACAAGTTGCGTTTCATCACCGATGCCCGCGACATTTCGATTTCCATGGCGGCGCAAATCTTATGGCGCTTTTTGGTGCCGTTGGGCGATTGGCCATTCAAGCTTCTCGCTCTTGTCGACCCTTTGGCCACCAGGGAGCAGCGGTTCGCCGTGGCCCAGGAGTTGTATGACGTTCCGATGTGTTGTTTGGACCCCACTTGCAGCCAGAAAATTCGACTTCGCTGCAAAGACGCGAATGCTGTTCTCGATGACGAAGATCTTCGCCCTGTATTGCTGTCGTGGGCTACGACGGGCAGGTTGTGCAGCATGCACGTGGAGCGGCAGTTCGCCATGATCCGCGCCAACATTGCGCATGATTCTGGTCCAGTCTCTGCAGAGAGGATTTCTGTAACTGGGTATCTTGCCCAGGTGGAGCGCCAGCATCGGGCGGCTGGCGGCTCGGCCATTGGTTCATTCACTCGGAAAGATGCGATTGATTTGGGCGTTCCCATTGCTTCTCTGGTGGAGCGCCCAGAGGCGCAGCCAACGAAAGCTCGAGGGCACCTCTCGTTCATGCATGCAAAGGTGGCGGCAGCGCGCAGCGCTTTGCAGGATGGCCAGAAGATGACGAAGGATGAGCTCATGGCCATTCGCAAAAATGCTTGCTCTGAGTTCAAGCAGAGCGATGACGCGGCCAAGTCAGAGTGGGTAGAGAACGCACGGTCAGCTGCGACGTCTAGCGCTGCGGCGCCCCCAGCCGCGCCAGAGACCAGCTGCGCGCAGTTCCGACCTGATCAGTTGTGGGGCCTTGGCAATGAGCACGTTTTTCTGACCCCCCAGTGCGCCATGTGCCAAATCAAGCGCGTCATGGGCGATGACGTGAAGGCCGTGCGAAGGAGAATGATCATAGGATGATGGATGATGGGCGTTTCATCCCCTTTGGGGCCCCATGGGCCCGAGACGAAGAGGGAGGGGGGGGGGAGGAGGACGACAGGATGAGGAGATCGAGGAACAAGGAGTCAGAAGAAATGAAGTTTCCAGGGTACTGAGGAGGAGCGAGCGGACGGGGGCGGTGAAAGCGGGCCAGGTGCGTTGCACGTCGACGTGGGTCTGATTGATTTTTGGTTTACGCGCGTCTCACGGGGGCGAAGTCTCAATGAGCAATGAGAGCGACGCCAGGTGGATCAGGAGAGAAGGATGAGCAGGATCCAGGGCGAGAAGGAGGAGCAGGATCAGGAGACGCAAGCGCGGATAGGGCCTGGGGGATGGGGATGGGAAGGGGTAGGGAGGGGGGGCAACGGTTTCCTTCATACCTTACAGGTAGGCGGCGTCAACACTTTCCATGAGAAGGTCAGGACTGAGTTGAGGCGCCAGTTGTATGTCAAGGACGTCCATGCTATCCCAGCGGCTCTAGCAGTGAAGAAAGTTCTCACTTGTTCGGCCAGCCATCATGGCATCTGCAAGTCGGCTGACGTCGCTGTCTACAAGGAACTCGGATGTTTGATTGCCCGCTTGAACAATTTCGTGATGCCGAAGGGGGGCCCCGGCGTTCCTTGCGGCTCTGGCATCCAGCTGCGCGGTTACAAGGAGGGCCCCCGCGGTTACAAGGAGGGCCCCCTCCATGATGCGTTGAAGTTCTTGGTCGCTTACATTCGGAAGGCCGACCCTGTTCTCTTCATAGCCGTGCGCCTCGAGGATGCCGGCGCCCCTGACGTCGCCCAGCTCTCGACCGACAGCGAGGTGTTGAAGTTCAGCTTCGGGTGCGAGGTCGGGGCGTCTCTATTGCGCGCCAAGTGCGATCGCGTGTCCGTTGCGGCGTTGAGCATCGAGTCCATCATTGGGACGCGCAGCAAGATGAAGGCCAAGGCGGGCGCCGAGCTGGACCTCATCGGCGGAGAAGCGGCAGCGGTGAAGGATCCGAAGCCCAAGGGGCCTGCTCCGCCGCTTGACCCCCTTGCAGCAGCAATGGAGAATGCGTTCGCAGTGGCCCAGACGCGGGGCGGATCTCTGGACGTGGGCGGGAGCCGCCGCGATGATCTAATTCAGGATTCTGGCGCTGTTCTCCATGCCCCTGGCGGACCTGGACCGCCCGGCTCTGCTGGCGCTGCGGACGGCGGCGGCGCGGCCGAGTTGCCGTTGGAGCATGTCGCCGGCGACTTGGCTGCGGAGCCGCCGCGCGAGTTCGGCACGGAGATCGACGACGTCCCCGACCGACCAGATGTCGACGCCGATCAGGAGAGCGATATTGGCGACGCAATTGGATCAGGTGCTGCAGTAGCAGATGCAGTGGCCAAGCCCAAACTCAGATACGAAGAGTTCGCAGTGAACGATGATGCTGGCATCCTCGGGTATCTCGTGCACAACAAGAAGAGCGGCAGCCTCGACGCCCACTGCAAGAATGACGAGCACAAGAGCGGGTCTACCGCGTGCAACTGCAACAGGACTCTCGCGACTTCGGCGAGGAAGAAGGCTCAGGGCAGGCCTGTCGGATTTCTCGTGGCGCGGTTGCGAGCTTGCAGGGCTTCGAACGAGAGGGGCGACCACGCGCTCCTCAAGCGGGGCAAGGGCGACTTGGCAGATTTAGTTTCTCTCGAGGCCCGTCGCGCCGCGCGCCGCGACATCTGCGCAGACCCGGACTTCGTCGAGTGGCTGCGGCGCGCGGGCGCCAAGGAGCGGGACCGGCGCGACAGCGAGGACGAGGGGCCAGAGGGCATCCCATGATCTTTCAGGTTTGCAGGCTTCCATCTCATTTACATGTATCATTTCTCTTTCCTCTCCTCTTCGGGCTGGCCCTCCTCCTCCTCCCCCTGCTCCCCGCCTCCTCTTTCTCCTCCTCCGCCGCCTCCTCCTCCTGCTCCTTATGAGGGCCGTTGTTGCCCCCAAGACCCGCCGTAAAAGTAACTATTTCCCGCGTCGTCGGCCCTGGCTTCGCGCCGCGCGCAGCCCCGTGCGTCTGCGGGCTTCGAGCTCCCTGAAGTTCCACCGCCGTCGTCGCCAGGGTCGCGCGAGCCCCCGAGCGGCCAGCGGCGTCGCCCCGAGGCAATGCCGAGACAGGAGGCGGAACATCTGCACGAGAAGAAGCATTCGGGGCGCAGGGGTCGGGGCGCCGGCGGGGCCCGCGTCGGCTGCGCGGATGAAACGAGATACAAAGCAGGCGCTGGAACGGGAACGGGGGCATGGCGCGCTACGCATCGGGCGGAGACGCGCCGGACACGCGGCGGCTCCGCGCCCAGTTCAACGCAGCGTCTGCCGATGCAATGCAACGGCGCGGGTGCAAAATGCAATGCGATGTACGGGGCGCGGCCCGCCCCGTCCGCCAGCCCCGCGGGGGCGGGCGGGGGCGGGGGCAGGGGCGGGAAGGAGGGGGAATTGGGGGGATATAGCGGGCGGGGGGGCGAGCGCGCGCAGTGGGGAACCGAACGAGAAAAGGTTACGAGCAGCCTGCGGTGGCTTGAGGTCGCAAGGGCACCCCCGACCGCGTTGCATTTGAATCAGGCGTCCCGCGAGGGGGTCGCGGGGCGGGCTTGAAGCTTGCGCTGCCAAGGCTCGCTGGGGGGGCGCGCGCGGGCGCGGGCTGGGGGGGGGGTCCCAGACGGCCCCAGCGTGGCTGCATTGGCGTGAACGACGCGAATTCTTTCTCGAGTTTTCCAACTGGCTGGAGGCGCGGCGGCAAACCGCATCGCGCGACATCAGGCCAGTTTCAGCAAACGCGCAGATCGCGCGTTGCGTGTGTAGCGTTGGCCCCGCGGTTGCTGGCGCGGCATTGCCTGAGCGGGCCGCAGATCGATGCGCGGAAGGAAACATTTGGGGTTTCGCAGCTTGGAAGGGGAACGGATACAAACCTTGCGACAAAGTGATGACAAAGCGATGACAAAGTGGTGACAAAGTGATGACAAATAGGGTTGTCGCGCGTCTTTGTTGCTGACAAAGTGATGACAAAGTGGTGACAAAGCGATGACAAGCGGGGGCAAATGGCGCCGCGCGTCGGGCCGTCGGAAAAAACAACGGCGGGCAAAAAACGGATTGCGCGCAAAACTGCGCGCGGTTATGATTTCACGCGCGCGCGAGCGACTTTTTGCGCTCGCGCGAACGCGCGCGCTCGCCCGCGCGCGAGCCGCACGCGCTGCGGCGGAAGACGCGTCGCGACGGGGGTTCTCGCGACCTCGGAATGGCTGCGGCGATGCCCCCGCCGTTTCGGCGAGTGCATTTTCCCCCGTTGATGAGCTTCACTCGCGCCGCGCCGTCGGGTCCACGACTTCCCTTGGCGCTCAGGGCGCAGGTCGCCCAGGCCCAGGCCTCCCCTGTTTGCGCCCGCTTCCTTCGCCAATTTGCCCCGGCCCGCTGCGCTTCGTTTCGTGCCGCTGCCTATCGAGCGGGCTTGGGCTGAGTTTTCTCTCGTTGTCGCTTGTGGCAGCGCTTGCATGGTTTATTCCCTCCTCGGCCCTCAATGCTCGGACCTCTTCCGCCTGGGAGGTCGCGACCGACCTGCCCGGCGCGGCGCGCGCGAAACGCTTTGTTCGCGGCGTCGAGGCCGCATTCGCGCGAACAACAAACATCGCGTCCCGACGTCGGGGGGTCAACTCGACATCGCGCGTGGCGTCATTTCGTCTTTCGGTTCTGATTTACCGCGCGGGGCCCGCCCGCGCCGCCGCGCGGCCGCGCGGCCGCGCGTCGCCGCGCGACAGCTGCGCAGATGCAGACGAAGTGCGTTTGTTTTGGCGCCGGCATCGGTTGCCCTTGCTCTGCTAGCCAGGCCGCGCGCGAGAGGCGCCGCAACGTCAGGCGCGTTTTTTCAATTAATTGAAGGGTGATATTGCTTGCTTTCGACGCGCCGTTTGGTTGCCAAGGTGGCGCAGAATATGTTCGCCGAGCAGGCGTGGCAAAGTCGCTTGTCCGCGGCGCTATCTCGCGACGCCTGCGACCCCGAAAAGGAGTCTTGGGCCGTGCAGCGGCCTCTCCTCCTCCTCCTCCTCCTGCCCCACCTCCTCCTGCTGTTGCAGCTGCCCCTCCCCCCCCCTCCTCCTCCTCCACTCTCGCCGTTCCTCTCGCGCCATGTGCCGCGGCAAGGCGCGGCGTTCTTGCTCGGGGAGCTCGTCGTGCTGAAGAATCGCCTCGCGCTTGCGAGGAGACCTCCCTTGCCCGCCGGCGCTGGACGTCGGCGCTGTGACTGATGAAAATGTTGATGTTCGCGTGGTTTTCGAACCATACATCGTATCTCAATATCCTTGCCGTCCTTGCCCTCTTCCTCTTCGTCGTCGTCACCACTGGCATTCTTATGCGTTTGCTTCGGCTTTCCGATCTTCGATCGCAGTCGGCCCATCAGAGCGAGGGCTCTGGAGGCGGCCGTAGGCATGGCATGGGCCATATGATATGCCATATGCCAGAGTGGAAGGGCCTGTGAAGGGCCCAAGCCGCAAACGAACGGCAAATCGTCGCCGCCGTCCCTCTGGGAAACGCGGGCTCCAGGGCCCGATGGGATGGGAGATTGGAGATGGGAGATGGGCGTGAGTTATCATGAGGAACGAGCGACGTGACGATTGATGATGAGATGATGAGGCCATGGGCCCAAGATATACTATGAGATGATGAGTGATGAGCCATAGATGGGCCATAGGCTAGGGCCATGGGCCATGGCGAGCAGCAGCAGGGCGCCACGAAGCTCAAAGCCCCGAGCCCCAAGCCTGGAGGAGGCGGAGGTGAAGGGGAGGGGGTAGGTGGGAAGAGAGGCGGAAGGCGAGGAGACAAGGAGGGAGAGAGTAGGAGAAGGAGGAGGTTGAGGAGGAGAAGGATTGGAGAGGACGTGGGGGAGGAGGGGCAGGGTCGCGCGAAGATTATCTCGATTCGCTTTCCTGGTTCGTTCCCTTGGACCCTAACGCCCCCTCGTTCCTGTTTCAAAATGGCACCCGATCCCCCCGAGATCGGGCGAACTGGATTCCAGTTCGCACCGAAAGGGCCCCAGATCCCTCCGAGATCGGGCGAACTGGATTCCAGTTCGCCCCGAAGTGGCCCCATGCCCCCCCGAGATCGGGCGAACTGGATTCCAGGTCGCCTCAAAATGGCTCCATATCCCCCCGATATCAGCTCCATATTCCCCCGAGATCGAGCGAACTGGATTCCAGTTCGCCTCAAAATGGCACCCGACCCCCCCGAGATCGGGCGAACTGGACCCCCCACCGAAAGGGCCCCAAATCCCTCCGAGACCGGGCGAACTGGATTCCAGTTCGCCCCGAAGTGGCCCCATCCCCCCGAGATCGGGCGAACTGGAATCCAATTCGCACCAAAATTGCCTAGGACCCCCCCCCGAGATCGGGCGACTGGATTCCAGTTCGCTCCACAATGGCTGCACCCCCCCCCCCCGAGATCAGGCAAACTGGATTCCAGTTCGCCCATCAAAGGCCCCATCCCCTCCCGTGATCGGGCGAACTGGATTCCAGTTCGCCCCGAAATGGCGAAGCACCCCCCCAAGATCGGACGAACCAGAATCCAGTTCGCACCGAAAGGGCCCCAGATCCCCCCGAGATCGGGCGAACTGGATTCCAGTTCGCCTCAAAATGGTTCCAACATGGGTCCATGCCCCCTCCGAGATCGGGCGAACTGGGTTCCAGCTCGCTCCGCATGCGTGTGCGCGTGCGCGTGCATGCGCGTGTGCGTGCGCGTGTGCGTGTGCGCGTGCGTGTGCGTGTGCGTGTGCGTGTGCGTGTGCGCGTGCGTATGCGTGCGCGTGTGCGTGTGCGTGTGCGTGTGCGCGCGCGTGTGCGCGTGCGTGTGCGTTCGCGTGTGCGTGTGCGTGTGCGTGTGCGTGTGCGTGTGCGTGTGCGTGTGCGTGTGCGTGTGCGTGTGCGTGTGCGCGTGTGCGTGTGCGTGTGCGTGTGTGCGTGTGCGCGTGCGTGTGCTTGTGCGTGTGCGTGTGCGCGTGCGTGTGCGTGTGCGCGTGCGTGTGCGCGTGCGTGTGCGTGTGCGTGTGCGTGTGCGTGTGCGTGCGCGTGTGCGCGTGCGTGTGCGTGCTGCGTGCGTGCGTGCGTGCGTGCGTGCGCGTGTGCAATCGGTCGCGACGAATAGTGTAACGACCACAGTGACGAGCGCGAGGACGACAGCGACGGCGATGACAAACACGACGACGAGTACTATAATGACGTCGGTGATGGTGTAGTTGATGACGCATTTCATGAGCAGCGCGACGATGATGATGAGGCTCATGAGGCTGACGACGATGAAACTGATGACGTTGATGACAACGGTGGTGAAGTCACCGTGGGCGCGCGTTGCCAGATGAGATGGGGGCGCTCGCTCGAAGGGGAGCATTCCTCAGGGTCCGACAACCCGCACCCATGCCCATAGCCAGTCCTCCTCCTCCCAACGACCCCCCTATGGGTATGGGTGTGTGTTGTTCGTTCGTCACATACTGCCACCGTACCCATTTTGGCTCAACCCATGTTGAGCAAACGGCCCCCGAACTCCCGAATTCCCGAGCTGTCGGGGCCGCAGCATCATACGCATGAAGCGTCCAGCTGCTGCCGGCGGAGCGGGCGCAGCCCCGGCGCCAGCCCCGAAAGCGGCCAGACAGGATGATGCGGGCACGCCTTCATTCACGTCGGTGTACGACGTGGAGACGCGCATTTTCACGAAGTATTGGCCGTCGGCATACACGCAGTGGTGGAACGACAATGGCGTTTGGCGGCGCGCACGCTGGAAGTGCCTAGACGTCGTCTATCTTGATGGTG